CTGTTGGATAGAGGAGGTTTCTACCTCATTCATCTTACGCGTCGGGACATCCTCTCTCGAACCAAACTGCTGTGAATTCTCAACCATTCCTTCAATCAACTCCCATGCTTCTTGAGGAGTCTTGTTCACCAATGCTCCTCCACTTGCATTATCGATTATGCTTTTGTCCCTAAAGAGTAACCCATCATAGAAATATTGGATGAGCAGTTGCTCACTTATCTGATACTGAGGGCACTTGATGCATAATTTCTTGAATCGCTCCCAGTAATCATAGAGCGACTCCTCTAGATGCTGTTTAATGCCGCATATCTCATTCCTTAGACTTACAGCTCGAGACGCGAGGAAATATTTGTCTAAGAATTTTTTCTTCAGTTGGTCCCATGTGATGATACTACCTGGTGGTAGGTAGTACAGTCAGTTTTTTATTAATTCTTAACATATTTATTAAAAAATTATAATGGATGAAAATTTTTTGCTAAATTCAAAGAACTGGTAAATTTACTCTTTCTCAAGTTGTAATAGTTTATATAGTTGTTCTAACTAGAAACTTTCATTAATTTTTTTCAATTAAAAACCTATTATTATTTGAGTAACTATGACTAGTTTAATAAATCATCAAATTTTAAAAAAATTAATTAATATTGAGGCTCACAATTAAATAAATGCATTGGAGATGTTCAAGTTAGTGATGATACTATGTTGTCACTAACTATGCTATAGTTTTATTGGCAAAAATTGGTCGTCAATAAATATAAACAGTGACAACAATGAAAAGTTGTCAAAGAAAGTGGTAGAATTACTGACAACTTTTATCAAGTTATCACTATCGCAAAACTCGTGCCTTCCAAGTCCCATGGCACGAAGTAGTTTTGTGACGACAATTAAGGGTAGTCACTGAAAACTTAGCTACTTTGAATCAATTGTGATAACCTTCAATGTCGTGACTAAACAACCTCATTTTGTGACGACTTTTTGTCATCACTAGAAAATGTTGTCACTAATGACCTTTTTTCTTGTAGTGAGAGATAATTCCAATTATTAACTAATCAATAGGTTATAACTGTCAAACAAGCGATGACAGTCAACTCCTCCTTACTGTGTCGATGATTGAGGTACGCCCGTCAATCACTACTCTAATTGAGAAATAATCTTAGGTACGCCCGTAAGACTTAATTCTCCAATTGCCTTACGTATTAGAGGAGGCATATTCTAATCAAATAACACACTACCAGGGTTATTTTATATTAGTCTGCGTATTCCCCTGACACGAATCTAATCATGTCAGTTACCACTATTTTAGTGCAATTAAATAATTACAGATTTAACGCTCTAATTGACATCAGGTTGCTAAATTAATTCAACGTCCGGGCCCAAGATATTCAATTAACAAAACAACCATAAATATTACAAACAGAAAATATGCAAATACCAGTAAATAAGAGGAATAAATAAAATTAATTCAATCTCATAATTTTTAGATAAACCAAAACCTCCGTTGTTCCTTGACTAGAAAAAGAGATTTAGTTCATCCCTGATCAGAAAAATCCACACAAAGTTGTAGGAACAGTTGCGGCCATTGTCTTCGATTCAGATGATTCAATTCGTTGGAATGCAGAAAGAAAGAAAAGCAAAAAACTACCAAGAATGACTAACTGTCTTCTATCTAAGTCCTCACATACGGTGGACTCCAAGCCACTAAAAGACGAAATTGTCCAAAGCCAAAAAGGAATCAGAATTGACTGCTACTTTTTCTCCTTATTTTCCTACTATACAACTACAGGAGCCAACAAAAGGAAAGAGTCCTACTGCTACTAGTCTGCCATACTTTCCTTATCAGATAAGGAAACAATCTTCAATTTTGTCTTCAATTGGTCTCGTGTCTCTTGTTACCACTCAAACTCTTCTGCTAGCTACCGTCAAATTGGCATCTTTTTATGGTATTTTGTTCTACTCCCTGCAATAATTACAAATTTTCAAAAATGAATAGAATCTGACAATTAATACACATTTGGTAAGGTAATAGGGGAAATTAATTACAAAATAAATGACAAAATTGCAACCTATCATTAGTCCCGTATGACAATTATGCTTCTGCTCAGCCTCATGAAGGGTCTGTTTGTTAGGACTGAAAACATTCAGAAAATGTTTTCCTAATTTTCAAGTGTTTGGTTCATTTATAACATAGGAAAATATTTTCTTTTGGAAAAAATTTTACGCTTGATGGCGTAAAATAACTTCCGCAAAAAAGAAACTGAAGTTATTTTCCCTATCTTAAAGAAATGGAAACATCGAAGTCAAGCAATCACGTCGCCATGCTTCCTCCCCCTCTTCCTACACATGCACCCTTTTCGTTGTCCTCTATTTATCTTTCTCACACACACAGACATATGCTAAGGCAAAAATTTTTGACAAACTCAAATCTCTGGAGATTAACTAATCTAGATCCAAAGGACTGTTCAAGTTGTCTATATTTGGGTGAAGGTTGGTGATGATGATCAGTACGTCTATGCATGGTTTTGGTTTCTTCAGCAGATGTAAATGTGGGAAATGGATGACGATGATGATAGAAGAAGAGCCGACAAGGATGCTAAAAGAGGAATAAGTTAATCACAGTAACATGGGCTCAGTCATTACAACGGGCTTGGGTGTTTCTGTAAATAAGTATCTAAACACCAGAAAATAACAGAGAAAATAAATTATTTTCATGTCAAAGATTTTCTGTGGAAGACTTTTTCCGAAGAAAATATTTTACTCCCTACCAAACGGACCCGAAATGTGTAAAATGTAATGATGTGGCCACAAAAGTCCTACATTGGAAGTGAAAATTTAGTTTGAGGATTAAATTGGTTAAAATGAATTATGATAGATGAAATTGGTTTTGACGCCGTTCTCGACTGGACTAGAATAGAACTTGTAACTTGTGAGGCTCGTGATCTCTCCTCCCCCATGGGAAAACAAGGCCTTCCAACCTCATTCTGGAATGCATTTGGCCATTAAATCTTTATCTGACAAATTAGAGAATCTCATCATATTACCAAAAAGGTATCTAAAGATAGGATATGGGGCAGGGACGGTCATCAGGTGGACCATTCCTGAGCTGTTCACGGCTAAGATTTGGCTAAAAAAAATGTATGGTCTAGATTTCATCTTGTATCTCGATTTTAACAATATGTGTGGAACTCACAAAATTTTGTTCTAAAATTACATGCTGTTGAAAGTAAGTTACACCATGTGCAAATAAAGTTATACGCTGTGCAAAATGCACATAATTGCCAGGACTGCAACCGTTCCTGCCACTGGTCACTAAAGATAAAGGCTAAAGAGGGCCCTCTGGTTGCCGGTTATCTGACCAGAATAATTGAACATCCATTAATGATCTATTTTTTGTTTGCTGGGACTATACTTCTATGGTTCAGCGGTTTCCTCGGGCTCCAGCTGCAATCGGTTGGTGCCTAAGATGAAGTTCCTGCAAGCAAAGCACTATGCACTCGTCTCGCCCACTAAGTGTCCTCCTTTGCTCAAACATTCTAATGATTAAGTATTTAATGATTGACTGAGTCGACTGACCAAAAACAACAGTATTATCCTTCCAATAAATTATGCAAACTAAAAGAAATGAAAATTTTCTCTTTAAAAAATATAACAAACCTAATATTGCCTTATAGTTATAGAATTTTGCTAACTGTAATATAGTGTTATTATTATTATTCAGCCTGAAGTCATAACTGAAAGTGATATATACAAAGAAAAGGGAGATTAATTCAACATGAAAAATAGAAAATTTTAAGGAAAATAAGAAAAGGGAGATTTTCACGTAATCAACAGAATATTTTTGGGTAGTCAATACTACGGGGAAGATGACAAATATTTATATTAAAAGGATGCCAAAAAATTAAAATAAACAACTACCCCTACATTTTTTTTTACTTTTATTTCTTTGTTTGCCTTTTTTTAGGTAAAAAATACAGGAATTATTATTTACTTTTATCTTTTTGTCTTCTTTGTAAGGTCAAAATTATCATGTACTCTACAATTACAAAGAAAATTAAATTGATAAAAGGAAAAGAACTCTCTTTTGTTTATTTTATTAACATCTCTTCTTATTTTTGTTGGGTTAATGTTTAATGTCATGCATATTTGAGTTTATTGGACTTTAAATCAGATGATGATGATGCTAACACTAATAATAATGATAAATAAAGTTAGCAAATTTTTATAAACTAAGGTAGTACTTTGCTTGTTATTTGTTAAGAGCAAGGCCTTTCTTTTTTAGGTTTATGTAAACCGTCAGAAGGATAATATTTTCATATTTAAGGATAATATGTCCCATATTTACACTTAGAGGAGGAAAACAAGTATTGCACCAAACCTCAAGGGTTAACATACTTAATTTTGGCTTGGAGGGACCAGTTAGAAACAAATTTCTAGAACCAAAATTTCAAATTAAGGGACCTAATACACAGTTCTAAATGTTAAAGATCAAAATAGGATCACTGATTAAAGTTGAAGTACTATTGGAACCATTATTTTGCCTCTAAACATCGTCATGGACAAGTGTTAATCCGAGGCTGAAATTCATTGTAATCTACCTTTCTTTTGTACTTGAGAATAGCACAATGTTCAATCTGTCATACTCAGTCAACTAGTCAATTAGATTTCAGGCATTTGTGCTATGGTTTGAGAGAGTGAGGTCGTAAAACAAAGTAAACAAGATCTTCTGTATGCTTTTGACATCACTTTATGTATGGCTACACTAAATATTTGGTCTTACCATTTCTTTTCAGCTTATCCACCATATTGGTTAGTTTAAGTATACCCAAAAAAAAAAAGCAATTTGCCAATGGTTTACTGATTTACAGATTAAACCAACCAAAAACTAGCCTTCGCTTTGTTGTCAATTTGAAATACTAAAATTACTCATTTTTTAGTGGAAACTTGCCAAATTGACTTCATATTGCATGAAAACATTTTGCCATCACCTCAAAAGTGCTCAAAAAAGACACACAAAATCACACACTCATATACTTAAATGGAACTAGCAAATACATGGAATGCATATTACATGATCACTGATCCAGCTCTTATTTGTATTTCACGTTACAAAGTACATACTATTATAGTAAGCCTGTTTAAGCATTCATGATTAATCATGACCTAGCTAGAAGCTGGCTTTATTAGTTCTGAGGCTCAGCATCTGCAGCCTCACCAGGATGTCCACCATGGCCGCCACCCCCGTACCCTCCATGCCCATAACCACCATGGCCGCCACCCCCGTACCCTCCGTGGCCTCCTCCGTAGCCTCCTCCATGGCCACCTCCGTAGCCACCTCCATGGTACTTGGCTTCTCCTTCCTCATTTGTCTCAACTGTCTTGGCTGCAATAAAGATAAATAATGTAATCGCAATTTTGAAAATGTAAAGTTTGGACCAAATTGTGTACATGCTTTTAGGTTACCGAGTATTTTAGCCAAACACATCGTAATTCTTTTGAAAATTTGCCTTTTAACGTATGTGTCAAATTATTATTTTACAGATATCTTTAAAATGGCAAGCCTGTTTAAGCATTCATGATTAATCATGACCTAGCTAGAAGCTGGCTTTATTAGTTCTGAGGCTCAGCATCTGCAGCCTCACCAGGATGTCCACCATGGCCGCCACCCCCGTACCCTCCATGTCCATAACCACCATGGCCGCCACCCCCTCCTCCGTAGCCACCTCCATGGCGTCCTCCGTAGCGACCTCCATGGTACTTGGCTTCTCCTTCCTCTTTTGTCTCAACTGTCTTGGCTGCAATAAAGATAAATAGGATATGGGCGTTACGAAAATGTAATCGCAATTTTGAAAATGTAAAGTTTGGACCAAATTGTGTACACGCTTTTAGGTTACCGAGTATTTTAGCAAACACATCGTAATTCTTCTGAAAATTTGCCTTTTAACGTATGTGTCAATTTATTATTTTACAGATATCTTTAAAATGGCTAATTACTACCAACTAATAGCTATTTTATCATAGCGAATCATAGTTTCTGAAAGTTAATAAATATAAAGATTTATTAACAGCATGTTCAAAATCTTATGCACCGAGATGTACCGAGAATCTTAAATCCATACTTTATGCTCCGAGATTGAATGCACCGAGAATCTTATAAAATATAGTTTGACTCTAAAAATGCAGGAAAAGTAATCCAGTCACAAACGACCATACTCCAACTCCCACGTTTGGAAAGGCTTGACACTTAGAATCCAGTTACTGAAAGGAGAGGTGTATTCAATCTTTTTAACCACAGCACAGCCATCTTTGTTAGTACTCCGGCACTTCACATGTACAACAAAAATCTTTCTGAAACCTTAAACGCTGTGGTCCTAAATGCTGAATTAAAACATGGCGCATATAAATTAGAAAGAGAAAAAATGATGAAATGTGAATTGAAGAATAAATGTCTTACAATTGTCAACTGACTTGGCAGCCACCTCTGAGGTAATCATTAGAACTACAGCCATGGAAATGAAAAAGAAAAGAAGTGTCTTGGAACCCATTGTTGCTGAAGGGAAATTTATGTATTGAAGACTGATTCTGAGAAGGATGAGGAAGGTGGTGCAGATTGATCTCTATTTATAGGAAAACCTGTGCCACATTCCCATCGAAAGGGTCGCGGAGTCGGCCCACCGATGTAGCAGGTGTTGAAGAGGCGGTTGTCGTGCTAGGTCGAAAGTCTATATAAGCGTAAACAAATAGAAAGATGTACGGAGAAGCATTTGTTCTAATTTCTACAGGTCTTTAAGGCATATAGACTTCGAGCCCTATGGAGAAGATAAGGCTCATGTCTCCTATATTCAACAGTATGTCCCAGCATTGTTGATAATTTGGACTCTGCACCGACTTCGATGGATTATATGTTTTCCAATTTGATTGACGTGTCAAATATTTTATAAGAAGAAAAGAAACAAGGAAGAACACGTCAAACTTTGCAATAGTTCCAAGAGAAGCATGATTAGAATTATGTAACTTTTTATTTATATCACAAGATACAATACTATCTTTTATTATGTATGTTAAAAACCTAAAAGTTGTAAATATAAAATAGGGTCATGTCCTTTTGATCCAACAGCTAGTTAAGTGACAATTCGTCAAGTTATTATTACATGGTTATGATTACTGCACTGGAAACTCTAGTTTTGGTTTGATTTTAGTTCCGATTCTTTTTCTAGATATGGTTCTAGTTTCTTGCAATTATCATTCTGGATCTTCTAATTGCACTTATATACTTATTGTTTCACCATTGAATATGAGAAAATATAGCAATGAATCTGGACGAAAAATAAGACTTTTATTATATTATTAGCTGAAAAAAATCATATAAATTCTACACAAAATACCTCAAACTACTTGGTTGTTTTAAATAAAATAAAAAGATGCATGATTTTGTCATTGATATTGAAATATAAAAAGAAAAATACCTCGATTAGACAATTATACAATTTACAATTAGTTGAGCTTTCAAATTTGGACTTTAGGCTAGGCCAAAATAAGCCTAGGGGCTAATGTTGAGTTTTCTGCTTAAATAAAATTGTATGGTTCAAACTGACTATGAACTTGCAGTGTTGGCTTTGGTTGTAATATTCTTATGAACCCGAACGGGAACATTTAGTCAGGGTTCTGGCCCCCCTTCTGGTATAACAAGTCCAATTTCAGTTTTGAATTCGTCAAACCGCTAGTGTGATTTTAGTTTGGTTATGATTTAAGCCTAAATTACGACGACTCTTTCATTTCATCCCTCTCCTACTTAATAAAAGGAGAGTTAAAAACAGAAGGAACAAGCATTTGTCAATCCATTATGCTTTTTTGTCAAAATAGAGGCATTTATATTTATAGGAAACGTGTATCTTTAGAAGTATGCATTTGCACTTTTCCTCCAAGATGCTGATCCGGTTGAGTCATTATGCCCGCACAGTTTAATGATCGACTTGCTTCGCCTACCAGTTAAAGACTTTTTTATTGTCTTCGTGCCTCGTGTTGTCTAAAGAATGGTACAACTGTGGTGAAAACGTGAAAGTTTTCAGTGTCGTTAGGAAGGAGGCAAAGAGCTTGCGATTTCAATCCTGAATGGAGGTCAAAGTTTTCAGTGTCATATGAGAAAGTGAACCATTTGGTTGCCCAATATTTTGTTTTTCCAGAGATATTTTTTTTTTTGGGTGTCAAATGATTGGTTACCCAATCATTTGGTTGCCCAATATATGTGGTTGCCCAATCATCTGGTTGCCCAATATATTTGGTTGCCCAATGTTTGCAACAAACGACTTTCAACAACATGGTGACAAAGTCCATTAAGGGTTTTCTTTTCTTTTCTTTTCTTTTTTTTTTTTATAGCAAGTGATGTTTTTATATTACCCATTTTAGCTCCATAGTAAATTGCTTTCAAATGGCATCTGCATCCTTCACTAGTCCAAGGTTGGATTCATTTTGAAAAAGTTGAGATTGTTACCTAAATAGAAATTTGTTGTGGCAATAAATTTTTTTTGAGGGCAATAAATTAAGTGTTTTTCCGCTACCACTAGCCAGTTTCCTCGAACACCATAATTACAAAACTAATCCGCATTAACATGTTGCATTTAAGAAATTCCTACCTTCTTGTTGCTTTATGCTTCTTTTGCCATAAGAAACCCTTCGTGTTCAGCTCAAGACTATAAATTTTATCGAAGAATTATACTCTCTACCACTGATTAAAAGAAGAAGCATCACAGATTTAGCCTTAATGGTCATCAATAAAAAAAAAAATAAAAGTATTATATATGAATAGCAGTGGCTAACCAGAGGTCAGGATTTGGTGGGGCAAGACTAGTGGAGATGCGTGCTTGACGGGGCAATCTATATTTTTGTAAAGGGAAAAATGCAGTTTTGATTTTCAATGTTTTGCCCGTCTATCAAACCGGTCTATTATTTTTCAATCATAAAAAATTTGGTCTCCAAAATTATGGATTTTATACAAATTTAGGAAAACTAATAGAAAATCACAATAACTAACGATCAAATTCAAATTAGCAATAGTGAAAGGTTTTGACATTATATTTTTAGTCCCCAAGGTTCGAAGTTTTGATCAATATACTCTCTTGGGATTTAAATAATAAGCATGGTTATGGTTCCAGAATGAAATTAAACATATGACAAATGTTTTCCCAAATCTAAAAATCTCTAAAAGCACCTCACATCGGCATAATATTATCTTTAGCCGAAAGAGTAACTCTAGTTAGAATTGAAAAACTATACCCAAATAATATACAAAATAAAATTAGTGGAAGAAAAGAGAGAATACTAAGTTCAATCATAACTTTAATCTAACTACTATACACAAATTCTTGCAATACTTGTGGACTTAAATTTCAAGTGGTTGTAGTTAGAAATTGTGATTGCAATAATTAGTGAGATCACTACAACAAAAATGACCTTTAACGGCATTTAAAGGTGTCAGTATGGATAATTTAACCTGACACTTTACATTTTCTCATACCTCAGACGAGTGTTATCCCTTCCAATGTGGGGATAGGCTCATATATTCAAACGCGTCAGGAAAACTATGCTGTTATAACATCCCATCTGCCAACAAAAATCTCTTTTCTTGATAATTGAAAGTGTCAGGATAGCTATAGTACAACATTAGGATATCGAATTCTATGCTGACACTTTTAATTGCCAAGAGTTTTTTTTTTTTTTTTTTATATAGAAGCAATCTGCAGGTAGTACTCCCTGCTATACATTCCGTCAATCAGAAACCCAAAGGATTTGTAAAATTATCTCAAAGAACAGAATGCATATAAGAAAATGTGCTATGATGCAAAGATTTAGAAACATCAAACTTGAGCAGCACTGTGATTATGAGAACTAAAAATGCCAACTCCCATAAGCAAGAGGAGATTTGTCATCATGTTTCATACATCAAAAGATTCATAGGAATGATTCATATATAACAGATGAGCACATGACTAGTAAGGTTAATGGCCACAAGGAGTCCGTACAGATGTCCAGACATGCCTGACAAATGGTAAGCTAATGAGAAGGAGCTAAAAACGTAACTAGCGTTCATTTACACGACATGAATTACACATCAAGAAAGTCAATCGACTCTCAACAGCTCACTTGTATCTTGTAGGCTGAAAGTTCTTCTATCAAATGCTACTGCAAAACAGAGGAAGAACAAGATATAAGCATGATTTTGACAACACAAGACTGCAGGACCAAGGAAATGGAAAGATAAAAGAGTATATACGGAACAATCAATAATGTTTTCATGGTTTTTAATGCAAATGAGTCTCAAGGACCCTATCAGGAAAGAAATTTTTCTTCTAACAATCTACTGTCATATACACAAATGTTGAGCACTAGCAAGAAAACACAAACCAGAAATGCTTATCCGGAACCAAGGAAGTACATTATTGTAGAATCAGTTATGATTCTGTCACAAGAAAGAGAAGTATCACGGTTTTAGAAGCTGATAGACAGACTGTGAGCGGCCTAGTAACTATCAACATAAGTTCATAAGGCATAGTGGTTTTTACCCATTACATGCTATTTACTGATAAGAAGATTAATTGCATAAGGCATAACAGCAATAGGCATCATAGTAAGACTTACATTTACCAAGTGGCTATGTAACCATTTTCTGGTCCTCATGTGTTGCAGCCTGATGATGGTACCACCTTTGATTGTATCCCCTTGTTGGGCATTGGTATCTGATACAGGTCTAACAATCTGCAAACCAAGTTTAATCATACCTAACCTTAGAAAATTATGATGATCTAGAAAAGAATAGATACTAGAAAAAGAAACATACCCAATAGCTGTTTGAGTCATCAACGTTGGGAAAACCAGTGACGGACTGCTACCCACTACCAGAGCCATATGGTACATCATGTGAATGCAGCCTAAACTTTGTTCTCTCATGCATCAACTTGATCACTGACCCATAAGTAATCTACCAAAATCACATATGCCGAACAAAATAAGAATGACTTAGCACAAAGCTCCATTATACAACTAGTAGAACTCAAAGCATCATACACCATTTTTCATTTTCGCCACACAACAGAAACCTCAAACTATAAAATAGGAAAAAAAATCAAATTTAATTCATAAATCAGCTCTTTAAAAAATCCAAATTGCAACAGCTAGATTTTTAACAAAGATTATCGAGGCATTTCATGAAACATGTCGAAGGCTATTACTAATTCTACACAAACAACTCCATTTCCTCTTTCCCTGTCCTCTTTTAGCTTAGAAACCTCTGAAACGCTAGAATTTATAACCATCACATGCCTATAATAGCACAAACTTGGTCAAAATTTTGAACAAAAAATAACTATAAAACAACTTTCCGCGTACAGTTTCAACAAATAGGGGGAAAAGCACACACACAAAGATGCACCGCATATCTGTGCAACTACAGGAACGCAAAAACCACGAATTTGAAGTAGTAAGTGGGCTTTCGGTTTACCTAGACGCCTTCGGAAGTGGCAGAGACGGGGGAAGAGGTCAAATCGGAGTCAAAGGTAAGAAAAAGGAAAATGGCGAGACCGAAAAACGAGATTGCCATTAGTAAA